CAAAACCCCAAAACCCCAAAACCCCAAAACCCCAAAACCCCAAAACCCCTTCAAGGATTTTCATTGCTGAAGTGCTTGGATCTAATTAATTCTTTTTAAAAGGAGAGAATTTCCCAGAGTTCAAGGCATCTCGGTTATCAATATCGCTCTCTAAGATCTGTGGAGTGCCTAGTACTTGCCATCCGAGTAGGTAAAACATGGACTGCTCGAGCAGACTTTGGAGGACCTTCATCTCTCCAACTTCGATAAGAATGCTTCTATCCTTTGCTAAAGTAATGCAGAAAGCTTACTGATTTCCTCTCCTCTGATGTACATATAGGTGATTTCGAAATTGAGGATGTCAATTCCATCTTCTTTGATAAGCTTCTTCTCTATTTTGCAGACGGTCACTCTGGAGTCAGGACCTGACTGAGGGCTGTTGAATGGAACATAGTTCAGAATAACAGGCTCCTCATCCTTATTGTAAGAGTCATCTATTTTGAGAAAATCTCCGATGTTCTTCATTGTCATGATGAATGTATCCTTGTCCTGGTAATTAGCTCTGCTTCTTCCATCGACATTCTCGGTTGGGATGAATTCAAAGGTCAGGTAGCCTAGTCTGCTCAGAGACACAGTATTGTTGCTTTCCTCATAAATAGCTCTATGTGGGGTCACAGCTAGCATCAAGTGATCCCTAATGATGTTGTGAGGCTTCACAAACACTTTCTTGCCTCTGTAAGTGTTCCTGAACCTTCCTGCATTGTTATTCGTATTGAAACTTTTGAGAGAATAAGCTGTGAATGGACTCAAGGGTCTTCTAAATTTTAAAGTTCTTTGTGAGAAATGATTCATGATCAATAGAAATAAACCCGAATTAGGCTTCTAGAGTTTAGGTTTAATAGAAGAAATTCCAGTCGAATGCCAGTCTTAGGAGAAACTTACCTTCATTGATTTATGGAGTGATAGCTCCTGTATAATCCTCTGGAGTTGGTACTACTCAAGATCCTTCGGATCGCAAACATTGACCTCATTTTGTATTCAATAATTATTACAAGATTTGGGGTTTTGGGGTTTTGGGGTTTTGGGGTTTTGGGG